ATCGTGCATAAAGTAGCAATCTTCTAGAATTTGTTGAGGTAATTCATCAAATGCCTCTGTAAGGTCATTTTGTAAAAAATGTATGTAGGCATCGGCTGTCAATCTCTTTGGAAGAAAAAATGGACCTAATAACTGATCACCTATAACTCCAGCCCATACATTAACACTGAATCGCCACTGATGATGAGTTTCTAGTATTGCATGGGGATTTTCATCGCTCCAAACGTGCGCATTATGAATATTAAAAATTCCGCTTTGAGTAAATGTTGCTTCATCCGTAAATACAATGTTTATGGGAAAGTCGACGTTTACTACCTCTTCCTGTATGGCCCACCTACAAAAAATCTCTCTTTTTTCGCCATCATTTTCTGTTAGAGCTTGAACGGTGTTGTAATGATAAGGATAAAGCAACTGCTCCCTTAAAATACGGTGAACGGTTGTTTTGTTAATGTTTTCTTGTGCAGAAATTCTTCTAATGCTGGTTGAGGCATTTTCATCGACTCTTCTCAAAACTGCTTCTTCTAATTCCACCGGCCTTGTGTAATGGCTGTGGGTTACGCTTCCCGTTTCTTTTAATCTGAGAAATAGTCTACTAAAGGTGTGACTAAAGGTGTACAATCGTTGCGGGACACCCTGTATATTCCATGTACAACTCTCTCCCTCAAGATGTTAAGAATGAAAATATTGAAAGGTTTAAGGGTGTCTTATAGAGATATATTTTTAACAACAATGCGAGGTGATTGTGACTTTTCTTTCTTATCGTTCGGTCAAATGTTTAATTTCTGTTTTTTTTTTGTTTTTTATTATGCTTTAGTTTGTTTGCGGATTGTTAGGATAGGTAAAATAGGCATTCAAATTTGTTTGTATTTTAACATGATTTAAGGGTTCGATTTAAAAGCAGGGAATGTCTTACGGGACATAACAGTAACTAGCATTAATATGTTATTTGTTATGTAATACGTTATGTTGGGGAATAAAGATATTTATTATTATTATTATATCTTATTCTCATTTCCTATCTTATTAAGATAGCTGCTTCATGCTTGATCTCAATTTTTGGTACAACATATTGCTATAAATCTTTGTACTTTTCATAATGTAGTATGTGAATACGAAACATTTGTGATTTTATCCCTCATAATACTCTCGCAACAACAAACCCGAATGAGGATTGTTGTTGACCTCACGACACCTCTAATAATATATAGTTTTGAAATTCATATTTTCATCCTCCATCTATATTAGCAAGTAAAGATGTCACCTCAAAATCTTTCTCTTCTCAATGTTAACAATAAATGACATCGTTCCTCGGAATTTCCTTTTATTATATCATCTTGTAGTATCGGTTATTCACACTCGATTCTCCGGTTAAAGATTTTTATTGTCTCTGACTCAATACTGCCTGTCGTCATTTTTATTCACATTCTCTTTTCCCATTTTAAATTTCTCTTTGATGAGTTTCTGATTGGATAATTAAGGTTTCAATGTAGTCTCGATTTCGGTCACGCATCTTCCAAAGAATACTTGCAGGAGAAATCATCCACATTTTAGTAATATATTTAACTTAATAAATTTCTATGTCGCGGTTTCTTTAAATGCAAAGTAAGTTTTACGTATTTTACATTTAACTTTTCTAACCTTTGGATGCAATGTACATAATTTAACGAAAAAGAATCATTTAATCACTGACTTGCATAAATATTCGAATATATGATTTTATCACATTTCTATCAAAAATAAACAATTTCGTTTTCAATAATACAAGATAAGAAATGATTAAGTAATTTTATTTAAAAAATATTTTACTTTAGTTGTAGTAACAAGTCAATAATTACATAATATTGACCTTTAAAAGTGCAAAGATCACGTTAATTCTTTTTAAACTAAGTTAGTTGAGTCACGTTTGCATTAATTAATGCTAATTCATCAATTAATAAAGTTTATTGCGAATCGAAAGGATATTTTATAAAAATTTGTATTTAAAATTTTATTAAAAATTAATAAATCTTGGTATTTATTTTAAATAAATAATCTTGATAAAATAGGAATTAAATGAAAAAGAAAAACTTTATTTACAAATTGTTCGAATAGAATCACGTCTTAATCCCCAGCGTCTCTCATAAATAATTCACGAGAACGACCAGCGAAAGGACAAAAGGTCTCGAATATTTCATAAATCTCAGCCCTAACATTATTTCTAAAACCCTCAAAATCTTCAAAATCTAATAGGCTTATATATACCACACATGTAACCATATATTTTATTTTCATCTGTACCCTGTCAGCTTAAAATCTTTAAAATAACGGCGGTCATTGTCCTTTTTTTTTCATTTTAGGTGCCAAGGAGGAAACTACCCTCTTCAAAACTCAAGTGGTCCTGTTAATGTGGCTTCGGAAACTAAAAATAGCAAAACGGACAGAAAATCTTAATTATTAATTAAATAAATAATTAATTTTAAAAAGCAGTGATTTTGTCGATGTGTGTACTAAAAAGGATTCAAATTATTGGTCAAAATGGACATTACGAAGGAAACTTACAACCCCAATCCGAGGGAGAAAGCAAATTGCCTCTCGGTGTTACTCTTTACGTAAGTATTTTTTATAATAATACTACAGTAAAACGGAGTGTCCCAGATGAAAATGTTTCATATTTTTAATTTGAACTTTAAACTGTTTGAATGAATAATTTTAATGCTCACTAATTGGAACAGTTATCAACACCTTTGCGTTCTGTATTAGTTAGTTCTACTTTTAGTTCAATGAAAAATGTGCAACAATCTAACACCGAATAACAACTAAAACTAGAACTGCCGTCCTTGATTTATACATCATATAGGCAACTCGGAGCATACCTTGAGTTTATCTATGAACATGGAATAGACTAGAGGTATTAACTGATACTTGTACCTGTTAATTTGAAACAAGTATTTGTATATTGTTCCTTGTAATAGTTACCAAATTTAAAAAACAGTAGGTACTGAATACTAGTTTAATAAACTTTAACGATTTCTTCTACCGTAGATAATAATTTCATTAAAATTTGAAACATTAAAACATAAATTGTTAAAGTAATATATAAAAAATAATAATTGCAAATCTTAAATTTAAAAATAAAATTAACACGTTAAAATGAAACAACACGATGTAACGTCGTATCGTGTCATTGTAACGTCGTATTTAAGTTGTGTTTATACTTAAGATTTTCAATTATTATTTTTTATATTTTACTTAACAATTTATGTTTTGATGTGCCAAATTTCACGATATGTACGTGGTTTTTGAACGCCAACTTTTTATTTTGAAAACGCTTCTGCTGAAGATGACGTTATAAGATCGAAACATGTAAAGCGAAATATCTTAGTAATAAAACCAGTACAAAAGTACAAAACATTTTTAATCATTGATTTTTAAACCAAATTTAAATTTTTGTGATTTATGCTATATCACTGGAAACTAGTGATAGATAAATATGAAATAAGGATGGATTACGATTTCTTGATGCATCAGAAATATTTTTTGTTCATGACGTCTTTTTTCCTCAGTTTTAGTACTTACATTATACTTGAATTTATTAAGAAATGTCGTCCAATTTAGACATTTTGTGATTTATGCTATATCACTAGTTCCTAGTGATAGAGAAATATGAAATAAGTGTGGATTATGATTTCTTGATGTATTAGAAATATTTTTTATTCATAACGTCTTTCTCCATCAGTTTTAGGATTTAGGTTGTAGTTCACTTTATTAAGAAAAATCGCCCAATTTTTACATTTTGTGATGTACATATGCTATATCACTAGAAACTAGTGATAGATACATATGAAATAAGTATGGATTATGATTTCTTAATGCATTAGGAATATTTTTTATTCATAACGTCTTTCTCCATCAGTTTTACTACTTACGTTATAGTTGATTTTATTAAGAATAATCGTCCAATTTTGACATTTTGTGATTTGTGCTATATCACTAGAGACTGGTGATAGATAATTATGAAATAAGTATGGATTACGATTTATTGATGCATTAGGAATATTTTTTATTATAACGTCTTTCTTCATTAGTTTTAGTACCTACGTTATACTTGATTTTATTAAGAAAAGTCGTCCAATTTAGACATTGTGTGATTTATGCTATATCACTAGAAACTAGTGATAAATATGAAATAAATATGGATTATGATTTACTGATGCACAATGAGCATTTTTTATTCATAAGGACTTTCTCCATCAGTTTTAGTACATACATTATAGTTGATTTTAGTAAGAAAAATCGTCCAATTTTGACATATTGTGATTTATGCTATATCACTATATGGTGGTGATAGATAAATATGAAATAAATATGGATTATGATTTACTGATGCACTATGAGTATTTTTTATTCAAAAGACTTTCTCCGTCAGTTTTAGTGCATACATTATAGTTGATTTTAGTAAGAAAAATCGTCCAATTTTGACATTTTGTGATTTATACCATATCACTAGAAACTGGTGATAGATAAATATGAAATAAGTATGGATTATGATTTCTTAATGCATTAGGAATATTTTGTATTCATAACGTCTTTCTCCATCAGCTTTAGTACTTACGTTATAGTTGATTTTATTAAGAAAATTTAGACATTTTGTGATTTATGCTATATCACTAGAAACTAGTGATAGATAAATATGAAATAAATATGGATAATGATTTACTGAAGCACAATGAGCATTTTTTATTCATAACGACTTTCTCCGTCAGTTTTAGTACATACATTATAGTTGATTTTAGTAAGAAAAATCGTCCAATTTTGACATTTTGTGATTTATGCTATATCACTATATGCTGGTGATAGATAAATATGAAATAAGTACGGATTATGATTTACTGATGTATTAGGAATATTTTTTATTCATAACGTCTTTCTCCATCAGTTTTAGGACTTAGGTTGTAGTTCATTTTATTCCAAAAAATCGTCCAATTTTGATATTTTGTGATTTTTGCTATATCACTAGAAACTAGTTATAGATAAATATGAAATAAGTATCGATTATAATTTTTTGATGCATTAGGAATATTTTTTATTCATAACGTCTTTCTCCATCAGTTTTAGTACTTAAGTTATAGCTCATTTTATTAAGAAAAATCGTCCAATTTAGACATTTTGTGATCTATGCTATATCACTAGTTCCTAGTGATAGATAAATATGAAATAAGTGTGGATTATGATTTCTTGATGTATTAGAAATATTTTTTATTCATAACGTCTTTCTCCATCAGTTTTAGGACTTAGTTTGTAGTTCATTTTATTAAGAAAAATCACCCAATTTTGACATTTTGTGATGTACATATGCTATATCACTAGAAACTGGTGATAGATAAATATGAAATAAGTATGGATTATAATTTTTTGATGCATTAGGAACATTTTGTATTCATAACGTCGTTCTCCATCAGTTTTAAGACTTTGGTTGTAGTTGATTTTATTAAGAGAAATCCTCCAATTTAGACATTTTGTGATTTATGCTATATCACTAGAAACTGGTAACAGATAAATATAAAATAAGTTTATGATTTTTTGATACATTAGGAATATTTTTTATTCATAACTTACTCCATCAGTTAGTACTAAGGTTATAATTGATTTTATTAAGATAGAACAAGTATATGGAACTATTACTTTTTAGGAACAAGATCATATTGTACCTGTTCCCCAAAAATACTAGTTTATAACATCTCTAGAATAGAGCAACTTGGGGAATAACCCGAGTTGGATTCTATCCATGTATTAAATAGATAATATTAATAGTATGACTTAAAAATATTTTGTCCGTTATATCCAAAGTCCGTTCTAACGAGGTTCTAATCATGGTTTTAATGTAATAGTAATAATAAATAACTCCAAACAGTTTGGTTTGATATCCTTTTAATGGATATTTTATTTTCTTTACAATTGTATTCTTGAAATACGTAAAAAAGATACCTGTGTTATTTACTAATGGGATTAAATTTAAATTCGGCTCGATTGAACTGGAATCAATTTCATGGTAATTTTCGATACCAAACAATAAAATCGGAGGATTTCACGGACTACTAATCAAAATTAAACCAACAAAATTTTCCCAGCCCAAATTGAATTAATTAACGGAATCGAATTTAAATGAAATTTGATCGTTTTATCGTATAGTGAGTACAATGTTTGTTATCGTATTCAAACGCATTGTTACGTTATCGTCCCTTTTTTTTTATTAAAGCGTTGTGATAAAACGAGCGGTATTAATAAACACAGTTTGGGTTTCAACCGAATTTGCGATAACTAAATGGCTTTGTTAGAAAACAAAACAAAACCTTTTTGATTTTAATTTTGTTATAAATATCCTCTTGTACTTGGAGTAAAAAGTTATCGTAATAGATTTACGATTTTTCTTTGAAAACGTGCAAAGCGTTTATTTCCGATCGTTGAACAGGTATTCCCCACTTCGAGGTCGACTTTAATTCATCGTTTACACACGAGAATATAAATAAGGAACTTATTTACGATAATTTATGGCTTCGTTTTAAAACGTCTAATGCGATTTTTTCTATTTTTGTGTCATTACAAATTTTACAATTTTTAAAATATCTTCATGAAAGAAACGTTATAAGCTGTTTTTGGTTGTTTTGAGATTGCGATTAAAAATATTTTTAATAAATATTTAGTAAACAACTTTTTGATAATGAAAGAAACGGTTTATTTGTTTTTATTTTTTTAACATTTTTTAATTCTAAATTTAAACTCAAAGAGATAAGCAATGTATGACTTCATTATACGATTGTTTGCATAATAATATTTCTGTGTGCGTCGAGCAAATTGTGTCCGAATTTTACCCAGGAGACTATTATTGGCTACAATCTCGATATTGTGCAATATAAACACTAATTTTAACTCAAACCAAATGGAGTAGGTAGAGAGGACGGCCCTAAACCATTACAAACCGAGCACTGTACAGGATAAAAATAATCTTTGGCCATATGCTCAAAGACAATCCGGAACAGAAATTTATTAACCTTCATAAGACCATTTCATTTTTAATATAAAAGGCCAAACGGCGTGTTAAAGTTTTTAGTTTGGAACAGGTTTAATATTTATTGCTACTGAAAAATATGTTATAAAATGAAACTTTTTGGTATTTTTTAAAAATTCATTAAAACTTTGGATCCGAGAATATTGTTATGAAATTTTCACAACCAAAATGAATCTACTCTAGAATGTTCTATGTTTTAAATACAATTTCTAAGTCAAAGAGAAAAATCAAAAATTCATTAAAAATTAAAATTTTTAGAAAATAGTTATTACATTTTCTATTTTATTATTTAAATAAATTAGCGAGAAAATTAACTATAAAGGCAAATATAACACAGAAAAAATGTTTAAATACTATTCACTTTTTTAATGACAATATTTAGTGTTTAATAAATAATTTAGAATACTCTTTGTGTTATAACATTAATAATAATACTTATTAACAATTGTTTAAAAAGTGCAATTTTAACCGTTTTTCGACCACCACGTATAATTATCGACCATTTTTATACTAGTTCTCGACTACTCTAAGGAACCTTGATTT